AACCCGGGCCGCACACATGCCAGGCGAGCACGCTACCGCTGAGCCACATCTCCAGCCCCCCTTGTTGGTTCTTCCAAGAGAGGAGGCAAGCACTTCTTCCCATTCTTTCATCCTGCTGCTTGGAAAATGAATGATCCCATACCACCAAGATAAGCATAGTCTCTGATGGAGCAACAAAATAGGAGTCTGGGTACTTAACTGATTCATGAGCATCGAGAACATCTGCGTGTGACATGAAAAGAGAATCCTCTATTTTGTTTAAAATCCCTGTTCTCTGTTTCATGTAGCTGAATTTATATGTTAACTGATATACTGGGAACCTGCAATCCCATGGTCTTGGAAGCAGGGATGCCCAGGAGGAGGCTTACCAGGGCCTGAGCCTGCACATCTGAAACTTTTGGGGGCTCCTCTCTATGGTCTCTTCCTTCATGCATTCCCATATTGATGAGACTGCCCTAATCATCTTCAGATCACAGAGGCTGGATTCTTCAAACTGCTAAAACTCTTAAAGACTAAGACAAATTAGTAAAAAATGACTAAAGGTAGTCATAAGGCTCTCCCAGATACAGAGGCATTTATAAAGCTCCAATTCTTGATGGGTGGAGAGACATACATGCATAGGAAGGGGGAGGAACCCATGATAAAGACTGTCATTTCTCAAGGATTTACTACCATACTTCTCAGTTTTAATTTAAGATTTTGATTCTCTYGCCCCCTTCTACCACACTCAAAATTGCAGAAAAAGTAGAGAAGAGTTGAACCATAAGCAATACTCCAGGTTTCCATTATTCAAACTTCATAATTACTAAGAAAAGACAGCTCTTTAAGCCTCCATTATGAGAGGCATTTGGTTTAAGGCAATGTTTCTCACCTGAATAGACCTTATAGTCATGCACTAATTTTTTTACWTGTATTGGAGGAAAATAGCTATYACATTAAAAGTATATTTTATAAATATGGTATAACAAGATTACAAATTAGTAGTAGAATAGATTTGAGTTGATTGTTTTAAGCAAATATAATTAAGGCTACTATTTGAACATAACAAAAATTAAACAGGGGATACCCAACACCTGAAATGGAGAAACATTAGTTTAGCAAAGACCTTGGAAATCCATTTGAAAATACCTTAGTGAAAAGTCCCAGCTCTACCACATACTAGCCATGTGACCACAGGCAACCATTAAATATCTATAGGTCTTACTTATACTTATGAAAAGAGATGGCTACATTTCCTATCTTGCTAGATTTTGTGTGAATTTTAAACTTGTAAAGTTAAAACACTGTATACATTTAGGAAGTTCTAAGTTAAAAAAAAATTACCTGTTTCCTAGCTTGGGCAGGATGAAAGTACGATGCAATCAGTTGCAGAAATAAGAACATCAGATTCCTGGAAGATGTCACATCCCCAGACACATCATGCATCTCCTAGCAGCCAGAGGCTAGTCTTGTCTGCTTGTCTCTTCTAACCTTTTCAGAAAAGTCACAACCATCACATCAATCAAAAGAAAGAAGCTGCTCAAAACCACATGGGCAGGGGATAGTAATGTTGACCAGTAGAGATACTTTTGATTCTGATCTTATTTTGTTTGGTAGCATTACTGTTTTACATTTGGTGTTTTTATCCTGTTTCCTCAGATGACACAGACACACACTCTTACTCATTCATGTCCCCTTTTATGGTTCTAGTCCTGTCTTACTTTAAGTCTCAGCTAAAATCTCACCACCCAAGACTAGAGGTTAGATAATTGCATCTACTCCTTTTTAAAAATTGCTTAACCAAATTTATCTGAAAGCATCAAACTGTCTTCCAGAAAGCAAACTGGAGACAAAGTTTAAAATTAAAAGTTAGGTCTGCAAACTATGAATATTACATTTGAATTAAAAGTTCTGGAAATTAAGAATATTCTGAAAATTAAGAATATGTTAAATGTCCTGAACATGTCTTTAATGTGGTATTTTTATAAGTTGCCCAAAGTTGGATTAGTGAGGTTGAATTATAAGAATCATGACATATGTGTACTTTTAAATTAAATTTTGCCATTTTGAATCAAAATATTGAAAATCCAATTTATACAAAAGTCACGAATAAAGGTCCTCATTTCCCTGCAGCCTCCACAGAACTGGATGTTATTTCTATCATCTAGGTGAGAAAAATGGCATCTTATTGTATTTTACTTTGCATTTCCCTAATGGTGAGGCTAAAACCTCTTCATCTGTTAATTTGCATCTCCTCTTCTTTAAACTAGTCGTTGGTGATTATTGACCATATTTCCATTACGCTAATTCTTCCTGTTATTTCATGAGTATTTTGCATATTGAGAATATCCTCTGTCTCATGTTAACTTTTTTCCAGCCTAAAAGGTATCTTGTTCCATGATATTTTTTTCTATATAAATTTCAATTTTTTTTTTTGTCAGCAAGACTATCCTTGTGATTTTTGTAATTACTTGGTTGAGATAGTATCCTTTACACAGCTAAACTCCTAATATTTCTTCTATTTGTATCGTTTTTGGAGAATTAATATTTTTTATTTATTTTTACATAAAGTATGAAGAAAAGGGAATCTATTTTTTTTGCCCTTACAGCCAATTATTAACCCCATCAAACTTTAGTTATTAAATTTAATAATTTCAGCTTCCTAAATTTCAGTTGTATCACATGTTGCCTTTCTGTATATGCTGGAATAAACTTTTCTTAACAGCAGTCAAGTTGTATTAAAAACTTAGGATTTATCTTCTCAATTTTGGGCCATTTCAATTTTAACAGCACAACTCCTCTGACCCAAAAACTTCAACTGTAAGTTTAACATAGCTGAGGTTTCCAAATTATGACAAACAGGACACATGTCTTACACASAGAGATCATGATTTAATGGGGGGAATCAGACTAAGTATTTAAGCTATGAATAAGAGCATTATGAATTACAAATAATGGTTAAGGTGGCTCCAGCAAACTGCATCACTTTGTGGACAGTTTTTATGAGTTTTTATTTTTCTCTTTGCCATTAACATTAGACTTTATTTGGACCTCATTGGTTTTCCATTGTCTTTTTTTTTTTTTTTTTTCTGGGATCCAATGCAGTCTTCCATATTCCCTTTAGTATCTTGTCTCCTGGGTCTCCTCTCATCTGAGACAGTTTCTCAGTAATTTCTTATTTTTCATGACCTTAATAATCTTGAGGAGTATTGGGCTTACATACATCCTGAAGAATGTCTTCCACCTGGATGTGTCTGATGTTTTCCTCATGATTTTGCTGGAGTTATGGGCTTAGGAAAAGAACACCACAGAGGTAAAATGCTCTTCACATGCTTGGTGTGCAAGTCAAGGACATGTTATAACTGATGATGTTAATTTTGATCACTGGGTTCCGACAGGGCGGGTAGGTTTCTTTTCTGTGAAGTTATGATAGTTTCCCACACTCTGGTATTTGAAAGTGAATTACTAAATGTAGCCCATCTATAAACAGGAGAGGCTTAAACTCTACCTTTTAGAAGGGAAAGTAACTACATTTCTAATAATCATTTGGAATATTTCTCTAAAGAAGATTTGGTTCTTCTACAGATTTATTTTATATAAGCTAAATTTATTACCATGTTTAAAAAAATATTTTTAAGTTGTTGATGGACCTATATTTTATTCATTTATTTATATACAGTGCTGAGAATTGAACCCAGTGCCTCACACATGTGAGGCAAGTACTGTACCACTGAGTCACAACCCCAGCCCCTAAATTGATTACCATTTAATCAGTGTGGATTCATGGATATCTATTTTATAAGCAGGATTACAATCTGAACTTCCAATACTTTACTTATTTTSTTGCCTAAACCATTTCGGATTTGATCACTAACACCTAGTTTATTTCTAAAATATTAATCATAAGGGATTCCATTATGTCAATTTCTTCCACCCCAACACTCCTAAAAGTCAGTCAACCCGTATGATCTCTCTATATCTACTAACAGTTGTTTCAGCTTATTCATACTGTAACTGACTACTCTTTTAATCTCAACAAATCTTTTGCCATGAATTTATTACTTCTGATATTGATGAAAACTATAATCTATTTGGTCAAACCAAGTTAAATGCTCAATGACCAATTTGACAGGCTTAGTTTTGGCAAGGCAATTTGCTGCACTTTAATAATCCATTTTCTACACAAAATACATGCTTTTCTTTCTTCAACATGAGAAAAGCAACGTTTTTGTGAGCTGTCAAATAGTGATCAAGAAGGTCAGTAAGCCAATAGATGATTACATGTTAATACTTCATTCATAGCACATAATGGTTTAGATATATGGTGTCCCCCCAAAACTCATGTATGAGTTGGAAGTGAAATGATGGGGCTATGAAAGCCTTAACCCAACCAGTGAATCAATCTCCTAATAAGGACTGAGTGATAAGTGAAAGCAGGTAGAAAGTGGATCATTGGGGGCGAGCCTTTGGGGTTAATATTTTGTGGTGAGGATAGCATGTTCATTCTTTCTGCTTCCTGGTGTGATGTCTGGACCTGCTTTCCTCCACCACACCCTTCTTCCATGTTGTTCTGTCTCATCTCGAGCACTGAGGAATAGAGCCAGCCTTCTACAGACTGAGACCTCTGAAACTCTGACCCCCAAATAAACTTCTTAAACTTCTCCTCTAATTGTTCCTGTCAGGTCTTTTGGATCACAGTGGTGAAAAAGCTGACTAAAACAGCCCACTTGTAAATGTCTGCAAACATACAAATTTCAGATAAGCCTGCTTACCCGTTATTGTTGATATTCTGTTTATGGCCCATTTACCTTTCTCCTCTGTGAACACATTATTAATATCATATTTTCCTGATCTTTCATAATATTAATCTTTCAAGAAAAGGTCAACAAATTCTGCTATGATTTTCTACTTATACAAATGACAAATAACCATTTGCAGTACTAGAAATCTTATTTTAATCTTAGTATGAAGCCAAGAGAGCTGTGGTCCAACACAGTGGGTCTTTAAGTATGAAGACTAAATTAAAATGTGCTTATATAGTTTATTTTTAAAGTAATTTAAAACACAGTGTAAACATACATTACAGATATCATGACAATTTAGATTAGGAATAACATGAAGTTATTTACATGTTGGCATATGCATGTGTGTATGTATGTATGTACACAAAGTGCAGATAAATACAGAAACACTACAAAATAAACAAAAAATTCAATATAACTTACCAACAATCATTTTCATCATATTTATTACTTAATTTGTCACGTTATTGGCTGCAAAGAAGCTCCCAGTACTGAAATACAATATCTAAATATCCAACTTTTATATAAACTATAGTACCTCAAATTTTAACAGTATATAAATAGAATTCTGAATTAAAAAACCCAGGTGTCTTCCCTGCCAAACTTCCTATTTGTAAAGGTTTCGGATCAGAGTTCAAAAAGATCTTTTAAAATTCCAGCCTTCAATACGTGGTGATAACGTGGATTTTAATGTAACTCCTGTGCAGGCAGTATTCTTGGGTCGGCTCTAGAGGCACCATTCTTTGCAGAAAGGAGGCGGCTGAAGATATGCTGGTGAAAGTCAAACTTGTAACATGCTGCCACATACAAAACAAGGCATGCTTTTCACCCAAGAGTCTGAGTGGATTCAAGGCACAACTGTGTTGCTCTCAACCCTAGAAGATGTGGGAGATGGTACMAAGGGGAGAGAGCAGTCATCTAACTGAGGTGGTTTTGGCACTCTCAGCCTCCACCCCGCTCAGATACTGAAGTTCCTCAGGCTGCCCTGTACATGAGCAGCTTGAATGGAAAAGAATATTTATGCTCGTAATAACTGAAAATAGTCTTTGCCTTTTGGAACTTCTCAATAAATGCACGGACTCCCTATCTCCATTTAGCACCAGTACGTATTCACCTTTGACATTGGCCTCTCCCTCATGAGTGCCTAAGGTAAAGAGGTGACCTGCTGGACTCCCTCCCCACACAAACAGCTTGTAAACATTGGTCTGGGACACACTGATCTGTTTTCTGCCAATGATTTACTCTGAGTGCTGTCAACATTCCTACTTCAGATTATTAAAGCAATGGGTACAGCTGACCTAAAATTATAAAAAATCTTATTCATGTTTATTATCCTCTAAAAGTTCACAACCATTCATAATCCTGAGTTTTTCCCAAGGTTATCACCAATAGAATCTGCACATCTGAAGCAGGAAGGTAATAGAAACGATGGAAGCAGACAGTCAATGTGCTCAGGAAATTGAGACTAGCTTATAAATACCTGTTATTAAGTCTGTGAATCAGCAGGAGATAGGCTGACATGGATTGTTCAGAAAGACTAGCCTTGTTTCTGAATGTGTTTGGATTTCAAAAGGTAACATAAAAGTAAACGAGGCCAAATTACAGAGCAATTTTACTCTAAGTTGGAAACCTTTGCTCAAGAGCAAAATAACTTCTGGACAAGAGTCAAGCCATTGCTTTTTACCAGAAGATATGATTTTGGGGTCTCACACAGTGACTTGAGGTCATAATAATAAGTGCTGTAAGTTGCAAATGTATTATGAAACCAAAGAACAAAATCTGCTCCTAAGCTGGTCTGCTTGACTTCAGCTGATAAAGTATAAATCAGGCTGGCACTCTTAATGCTAATTAAGGTATTATCAATATATAGTTGGGCTATTATGGGTTGAGTATCGCTAATCCAAAATCTGATACTTAAAAAAAAACAAAAACCCCATGTATTTATTTATTTATTTTTATGTGGTGCTGAAGATCAAAGCCAGTGCCTCACATGTGTTAGACAAGAACTCTACCACTGAGCCACAACTCCAGCCTCCCCAAATCTGAGACTTTCTGAGAAATTATATGACCCCAGCAATGGAAGATCCCACACTATGAAACTATTTTATGCACAAAGTTGTTAAATATCAGATAAAATTAACTTCAGGCTAGGTTTATAAGGTTTATTGTGGAACAAAAATGAATGTCATGTCTCACCTCCATAATGTTTGTGTGTACATGATATCTTGTATATATGTAAATATTGCAAAAATATTGAAAAAAAATCCACAATATTTCTTGTTGAAAGCATTTTGGATAAAGGTACTCAACCTGTGTTAAAAACTGAAGTTGCCTAAGGTGAGGGTCTGAGGAACTCTTCTAAGGCAACATCCATGTGAATGACACACAATACTTTCCACACAGACCTGAAGAATGATGCTGAGAGTAAGAAGACTGGCAGATGTCAGTTTCACACGATTATAGTAAAAGACTTGTTTTCTTCACAACATAGTAGATTTTTAGAAGGCATGTCACAATATGTAACTAATTATCACAAATAAGACTCATGTATCTTTATTTTTTTCTATTTGGAAATCAGATAGCTTGGGGTTATGGAAAATAGAAGGTACATTTTTTTTTCTCTCCATAATTCCTCAAAGAACCAGCAAATGAGCCATGGTTGAGAAACCAGGTTATGCTTATACACATACACAGCACAGAGAACCAACGTAACAGACAAGTGAAACTACTTACACCACATAAAAATGATTCCCCCTCATACTTCATGGACATTACAGGAATATAAAGATTATTATTCACTTTTCATATATTCACACATAATACAGAAAAATCCTTCAGTTGAATGACTTGTTTCTATAAACTAAACTTAGAGCAATGGCATAACAAAAGTCGCCTGTGAAATGCATATTCTGTACTCAGGGATATTTTCACATAACATACAGGATGATTAATTTAGACCCTCAATCTTATCCTCATACTGATAGTATTGAAAGAAGTGGTTTGGAGCACATGCCGTTGTGTTTCAAAGATTTGACTCTGGCAATTCTAACGAATCTTCAACTTCAAACACCATTATAATTCAGACTGTGATGCTGTTTCCATGAGTGCCGTTATTTACTTTTTTGACTAATATTCCACATGTATTAGAGAACCTGTTCTTGGTGCTCAAAAACACCTTTTCACAGGAAACTTAACTTCAAGGGAAAAGCAGTCTTAGCCTCTCTCCAGTATATGGCCACGACTTGCTTCTACATGTAATCAATAGGAAGAAAAATGAACCATCCCTACAAATCTAAAAAGTCAAAACTTCAAACAAAAGTACATGAACCAGCATGTAGTTTATTTCAGGAAAGAGACCATATGTTATGCTACAGTATAGGTCTCTCCATTAGAAAGGAGAGCTGGATGTCATACCCACATCCTGTGCAGTTAATTCCTTACTGAACATCAGTGGAATTAGCTTACAGACAACTCAGAAGCAGGGACACCCTGTGTTAAAAATAAAATGTTGAAATAAAAAGTTGAAATTTCTTTATACAGCAGCAAGTGAAATAAGATTCTGAATCTTTTAGAGTCAAGTTGGTCTTGGAAAGAAAATTAATTTGCTTTGAGAGGTCCTAATCTAGCCAGATGCCAGATAATGGTAAGGGTGCTTAAGTTGAAGGGGGCCAAATAGACCAGGGGACTGGTACATTGCAAAGACTACCTTCTGTTCCAGCAGAGGGCAATTACAGTACCAATAACACTGTTACTACTACTGAGAGTCACTTGACCAAGAAGTTCCAGCAATACCTCATTGTAGTGCAGAGATAAACAGCAGGAGGAAAAAGAAAAGGACAAACTCATCAGATTTTCACATAACATTACTGATTTTTGTAACAGTGGAATATTTTTTTCATTCATTTATTTCAATCCACTGATATTTTTCCTGGCTGTGACTGTCTCTCTATGATTACCCTCTTCACTATTTAATTATAATTCATTATTTTTACTTTTAGAAGCATAAATGCTCTGAGGCATAGTTGTTGCATCTTTATTAGCTCTAGAATATTAACTTAAAAGAAGGTGGAATTGATATTATAATATGTAAAAGGTTTTACACAGTAAATACCTGAGTGTTTCTAAAGTGGGGGAAACTGAAGTAACCAATAAGATGTCAAAGCCAAGCACAGCAGGGCTGTGGTAGCTGGTGGCAGGCAACCAGCCTTTTGGAATCTCATGAAGAGAAATTCTTTACCATAGATATTCATAGAAATAATATATTAGAATTATTAAAATAGGATTATTACAAAATGGTTGATACATAACCAGTTGATGATATGCATAATTTGATAGTAAATACCTATTTCTATGCTCTATAAATTCAGTGAAATTCCTAGTAATCTGAATGCCATAATAGGAAATCATGTATAGATTTTTTGTTCAAGATGATGGCATAATTTCAAACTTTGTTGCTTAATATAATTTAAGAATCCTATATATTTGTATTTATTTTGTTTTAATAACATATATACTTTAGAAGCCAAACAGCTTCCCCATTATTGTTTTCAAGAACATGAAAACACACCTCATAAGCCAAAGCTGGATGTTATCAAAATACTTTGACACTACAGTGTCACAAGTGGAATTTCAGTTGCATGCCTCTGAGCTGCACTTATATAATTTTCTCATTGTTGTAATTATTCTCTTGTGCTACCATTAAAATGTTACTGGTAGAGGATATGTGCATATGATTTTTTAGTATTTATGTTTTAATGTAAAATTTTGTAAAAGTCCAGAAATTATGAAGATAGTTTTACACATTCTCTAAAATAGGGGTCAGTAAATTATGACCCACAATTGAAATCTAGCCCACCACAAAAATGTTAACTATCAGGCCTTTATAGAAATAGTTGCTGGGCTTGGGATGTGGCTCAGTGATAATTCTTGCCAAGCATGTGTGAGGCTCTGGGTTTGAAACAGCTTGCTGATCCCTGCTCTAAATTCATGAAAGTTGTCTGGATTGGATTGTTTACAGAATCAGTGTATAACATAATTTGACTTTTTTTTAAACAGACATTATATATATCATTGCTTTTGAATTATTACTATCTACTTGGAAAACAAATACAATAATGTTAGAACAAAGACTTATATTTCCTTGAAATGTTTAGGACCAGCAAAACAATCATATATAAAAGCAGTATAATTTTTAAGGAAAAAAATGAACAATTTAAATTACACTTTAAAATATTGATCTCAAAGTTCCTCAGAGAATGCCAGGCAGTAAAGGACAAATCTTAAAATCCATATAGCAGATTTCTGGTTTCCAAATTTTGGGGAATATAGTATCAAACACAATATTTGAGATTCTATAGGTGCTATGGAAGAGGCATTGTGGAGAACTATTTTTACCATAAAAAAGCAAGGTTTTTTAAGATAAGAAACCAGCCAAAAAAGAATGACCACAATTTAAACATTTTTTTTCTTTTTCCATTAATAGGGAGCTACATAGTCCGCTGGTGAAGAACTTGATAGAAATTGACTGTTTTTATTTAGTGGGCTATCCCCATATCTGTGTCAGATAAAAATCATAGCACTTATTATTTGTTACCATGGATACCATGAAGATACTGCCATCCACTAAATAGTATTAGAGGAAGACAACATAATTTTCTGGAACTAGTCCTGTTTTGCCTTCATAAGTTGCCTTTAACCATCCTGGTTCCACTGATGGGTACACTGGCAAAATAAAGAAAAAAAATACATGTCAATCAACATTAGCTTCAAATAATTATATAAACACAAATCCACGTCAGATTGTATGCATAAATTCACAAACAAATCAGTGTTATGATCCCTTTAATGTTGAAATGCTCTTTGTTTTCACATAGACAATCTGCATATGTTTGTGTATGCACTCATGGTGGGTCTGTTTCTTTCACTTCTGTACAAGTAGACACAGACACAGGTGTGTGTATACATATTCCTGCAGGGGAGGAAGTTGGGATCTAGATCTCATAACTCATTCAGGTTATGAGAGGCAGGGGCTGGAACAGAACCCAGGGTGCCTGGCTTCTACTTCAGACTCTTACTGCCACACTATTTCTTTGCCCTTCCATGATACACTAGTGAAGGATACGGATGTACTCACCATTAGAAAATATTGCTCCCTGTGGGAAGGACAGCTCATGGCTGTGCTCTGCTTTACAGGAATACATGGCTTTGGCTTGGCTGAAAGATCAAGACAATTTATAAATAAACACAACACTCAATTTGAATACCTCTATACTTAAAACTCTCTGAAAGAGTGCCATTAATTCCAGTGATAACTGGAATATAATACATACAAAGAAAATGCACATGTAATTCTACATCTATGTACTTTCCACAAACCAAACACAGTCATGTAACTAGATCAAGAAATTGAGCAAGTACTAGCACCAAAAGCCCTTGTATTTCCAGGCAATGCCCCTCTACGGGAACCACATGGTTTATACCAAACAATGTAAGCTGGTTTTAAAGAATGCGTATTTAATTGTTAGGAAGCTACTGAATAGGCTGTTTTTCAAGCTATACAGGAACCAAGGTTCATGGGTACCCTACCAATTTTTTTTTKCAACTTTAATTTTCAGAAAAACTGAGGTGGTATCTAAAAGTTAAAAGGTCTAGAAGATATGATAAATAARTTGAGTGGGTATGATATAAGAAGGACAATTGGATAAGCTAATGAAAATGGTAAACAATTTTGGCCTCAGTGTCAGGGAGACGGTGGGGATGGGTGAAGGCTTTGCAAACTAGAGATGCTTATTACCTATAAAGGGAAGTCGACACATAGCTTCTTATAGTCATTTCTATATATGAATTCGTGATCAATGTAGCCAGTTACTCTAGCTTTTAAAGAGAAACCAGAATCACAGGGGTTTTTGTGGGATCTGACTTTAAAATATTGGAGCCAACACTACAAAGCCATCATCTGAGGCTGCTAACCACGTAACCGGGCAAGTCCCCTTTACTCTACGACACTGAATGGCCTCAGAAGGACTTGCAGCTTCCCTAAGTCCACTCACTTACGTCTTCCACAGGGTCTAAGCCAATGACACCTCTGGTCTGGTTGACTGAGTGACTTTCTAAACATCCTAAAAACTCTAGGCTTCGCCTTCTGCTYGCTGACAGTCTACCATCTACAGAGCAACCAGAAGGCAGTGTTGAAGCAGTCCATTAGATCACGTTACTTCCTGACAGCAACACTTCAACAGTTTCCTGACCTGGTCTAGAAACCATACCCCTCCACGTGTTAGTTTGTTTGTCTCTCCTATCTCTTTTCATACCTGCCTCAGATCACTCATGATATTCCAGTCATATGGGCCCTTTTTCTCTTCCTCAAATATGCCAAAGTCATAATGGTTCCTGTGAGATGTTTTCTTCTTGATCTTAAACTGGCTGTGCACTTCATATTTACTTGAATTTTCAAGAGCTTTGCTGTAGGTCAGGCCTTCCCTGAACATGAACTCCAAAATAGCCATTCATGCAACTATCATATTCTCCTGCTCCAAATCTGTGCAGTATTTAAATGTGGTATTCTGTTGTTTCAATTGATATTTTTGTTATTTTCTCCCTTAACTGGAATGTAACCTCCATGGATGATTCTTTTTTTTTTAAATATTTTTTAGTTGTCAATGGGCCTTTATTTAATTTATTTATATGTGATGCTGAGGATCAAACCCAGTGCCTCACACATGCTAGGCAAGTGTTCCACCACTAAGCCACAACCCCAGCACCCCCATGGATGATTCTTGATGCTCAGTAGCAACTCAGTAATTATTTGCTAAATGGTAAGTCAAAAAAAAAAAAAAAAAGGGGGGGGAAAGAGTTGGGCTCATTGTCTATGTGATGGGTCCTTTTAAAGACATAGGGAGCCTTGTCTGTTCTCCCTGAGGTTCCAGTACTCCACCTGCCAAAAAACATCAGCTGTACTTGCCATCTTCCCCAAATCAATAGCATTACCTTATAACTGCATTTCCCCATTGGAACTAGACCTTGGGTCTTATCTAGACACTTGTCGAATGAGGGTTGGCCATTTTAACTCCAGTACCCCCAAAAATATCTGAAAATTGAAAAATTATGGAGGAAAGTTCGAGTTCCGCCTACAGAGTCTCTTTTCTTTGAGGCAAGGAGACTTAGGCTGAGGTAGTATGTTCAAACATCTTGCTGGGGGACAGGTTTATTAATGACCACTGGCCAAGACAGACTAACTTGTCAGTGAAATATTGTCTAAAGTAGAAATGAGGAAGTGGAGACACCCAGGGAAAACCAAGACTTTATACTGAAAAACAAAACACCATAAAAATCTCTATGTGTGTGTGTYTGTGAATGTGTTGATTACAGATAGGTGAGAAGTGGAGAAAAGGGTGCTATCAAGTTCTGAAGATTTCTAAGATTTAGATTTTGGTAATCTTAAGTAGAATTATCAGTTTTTCCTATAAATCTGGCTACTTGTAACCATTTGAGTTAATCAGAATACAATTGAGAACTGCAGAACCATTTCCCTAAAAAATATGTAAATATTTTTTTTTAAAAACTCACATTTTCTAACATGAACAATTCCCTCCGGTAATACTGCCTTATTTCTTTGAGTGATTTTGATAAATTACTTAGAAATCTACACAGAAACAATTTTCARATTTGTACAAATTACTGTAATCATCTTTACAATAATGTAATTTTTAAAAGTACGTTTTAAAATGCAACCAAATTATTTTTGTTAGTATTTCAGACACAAATATTCTCTTTGTAGTATTTTATGGCCTGTGTGGGGGAGGGGAGATGCACACACATTAATATTATTTTAAAGAAACCAGGTATTTTTAAATGTGTCAAAAATACAAAGCACAAAATACTAGCATGACTTTTCAATTATTTGTGCACATAACTAGACAGATTTTCTTCTGCAGAGAGCTCTGTTCACCTAGCAGAGAGCTTTGATGATTTAATGTGGACTTCTGTGCCAGTGAAGTTTCCTCTCCAGGTGCTAATGCTTCCTCTCACTGTCTTGTGTATTGAAGAGGATGTGAAAATAACATGGTCACTTCTTGTGTATCTTCAGAAGATTCTAATACCCCTTTGAAAAGTATTTTGAAAATCCTGCTTCTTACCACACAGAAGAGTAAGGTAATGACACCTACGGTCCTAAAAGCCATTTCTTCCCTTTTCATCAGGGAAAAAATGGCTCACAGTCTTATTCCTAACTCTAAATGCCATGTAATGCTGATCAGTCAGTATGCAAAATTTGCCTGTCTTATCTTAAAGAGAGGAGAAATAAAAAACTCAGTAAAATACATATGATGTTTCCTAGGGCTATTAAACAATAATAAACACACATGCACACTTTGTATACTGCAGGGAAGTAAGTGCACATAGATAGAGGTAGAAAGAGGCCAAAAGAGTACCATATATAAAAACTAGAAGTAAAAAAAAAAAAAAAAATCTCAACAATCTAAGTGTTCATCAGTACAGGACTTAATGAACAAAGCAGAGTACACCAGTTCAATTAAAAATTAGGCAGCAATACAAATAATGCTAGTGAAGAACTCGGGCTATGCAAAAAGCATGTGAAGCAAAAATTTTGCTATATTTGTCTTTGGCAAGGTCCCTAAACTGCCCAGACAGTTTGCCAATAAACAATGCATTTACTTAAATTTAAATACATGTTCTTTTATACTTTTATAGTTTGTTTTCCCACCCTCCACTCCCCACCCTCCCACCCCCATCAAAAAAATAAAATTGGCTGGTTCTGGCTTGAAAATGAGTACTCAATGATTAAAAAAAAAAAAAAACTTCCATATACATGTGCAAAGTTAAGCTGCTTATGTCAAAGGCAGATATACTGCCATTCCAAATTGAGAATGAAGTTAAAGAATGAGTACTAAACGGTTTTTTAATGTTAAAAATATATATTTTATCCATTMATTCAAAAACTTTGCTGATCCATCTATTTTGTGTTGGGTATTATGATGGACCAATAATGAATAACAACTCCATAGATCCTTTTCCTGTGTTGTGTTTTTTTCTTTTTACATTTCTGAGATATTTTATTAGTGATAATAATTGTACACAATAGTATAATTCATTGCTACATATTTGTATATGCACACAATACGACAATAGTAACCCCCTTTCTTCTCCACTCCCTGCTTTTCTGTGTGTTTAGCACAGAATAGTTCTCAAAGTGTACTTAGGAAACTCTCAGAGGGATGGAGAACAGATGGGACCCTAAAACATCACTGCTCAAATAGCGATGAAATGTGTGTGAGAATCCATTTATTTTATATGTCAGGTATTAAAGATATCTGCAAAAAATGTAAAATAATGCAACCCTTTTTATTTTGGAAAATGTTATATTGGTAAAAATTATGTAATTTGTGCTAATATACAATGAGTTTATATTCATTTTAATAATTAAATATTTTAAAACTTCTCAGTTTAAATTTCTTTCTTTCTTTTTTTCTGATACTGGAGATTGAACCCAGGAATGCTTAACTACTGAGTCACATCCCCAGACTTTTTTATTTTTTATTTGGAGACAGGATCTCGCTGAGTTGCTTTGGGCTTCACTAAGTTGCTGAGGCTGGCTTTGAACTCATGATCTGCCCATCTCAGCCTTCGGAGCCACTAGGAATACAGGCATGTGCTACGGGGTGCCCAACTCTCARCTTTAATTTCTAAGACAGCAAACAGCGATAGATATAACCCACATAAATTAAAGTTCTCTTGTGATCTTTAATGATTTAAGCTTCTAAAGGTGTTCTAAGAACAAAAGTTTGAGAAACACTAYCGTAAGCGATATGCAACAAAGCTGAACAGTAGTTATCTTCAGGTGATGAAATCAGCAGTGGCGTTTATTTACTTTTTTAGCTTATTATTATTATTCTCCCCACATCCTAAAAGATGACAAATTTAATTACTTTCAAAATTCCTGTCCTTTCCCCTCTTTACAATTGCCTTGGGTTTTCTGCTTGTGCGTCTTTCATGTGTCATTGTTCCACACCAGTGACAGTAACTCAGTCTCACTGGATAGGACTTTGTTGGACTTTGTTTTCTGTGCTTTGTAAATATAAACAAAATATTGGTATTTTAGATTATGATACCGAAAATATTTGGTGGTTTATAATAAGGCATTTAATTCATATCATTCTCAAGTGCTTATTTCTCAATTCAACCATTAGAAGATATCTGTGTAGTCTGCCTGCATATAGGACTTCAAAATGGACCTGGACCTCCCCTCTGAACATAACTGGTTGAAACCAAAGTGACACATTTCACAGGACAAATTTCTACATGTCTTTAAAAGGGTGAGCCTAGTGGCACTGTCCCTTGAAGGTGTTTTATAGAAACAACTATAAATAAGCCGTGTCTGCTTAGGGACATTTTTCTCWATTTTACTGGTTCTCAAATGTTCATGTACATTAATAATCACTTGGGAAAGCAGGCCAAAATTAGGAATCCATAGGCCTCAGTCTCAGATGTTCCCGTTTATGGGCTCTGTGGTTAAACTCCATAGTTCACTGTCACTGATCTTGTAGGGTGGCACCCCACTCCAAAAATCTCCAATGATGTCTCAGAGGCTAACAACAGTGTCCTCTCCTGACTGCCTACACTTTTCAGCAACTTCTACTTGTGGCCATGCCTTCTCCTGACCACTGCTTTCATTCTTTTCCTAATATTTATATGAAATCATTCCTAAAAGACCAGGGCTGGGCCATTTTTCCTTTTTCACTCAATAAATCTCACTACCGGGGACACTCACCTTCCCCCATACAAAATAACTGCAGTGCAGAAGTTTCTCAAATGGCATCACACTCCATGCTCTCTCTGGTCCCAGCTGCACATTTCTAATGGCCTCACTTGTTCCTCAGGCTCCACCACTCTGGCCAAAACTCTTCCTTCCCCATCACACCCACAAGCTAAGATCAGAAGCTACACTACCATTCTTTCTAATGCTTCGCCTCAGAAACTTGGGAGTCTTTTGTACCTGTCTCTTACTCCCAGTATCAAAGTGGTTGCCAATTCATGATCCTATTCATATAAAATAAATAAGCAAATAAATAAAAATTAAGAAAACCCAACCAAACAAAAGACAAACCTGGCAGCTTTTTATGTTTTTGTACTCTTCCAATTGGGTACTTCTAAATTTCACCAATTCCATCCAAATTATTGACTATTCTCTCCATATCCTTCTGAAAAAGCTACTTGAATAAATCTGTGCAAGTCCATTACTGATCTAATCACCCATGTGCTGGATGATAGAGTGATTCCCAAAAGTTTCCTGTTGCTTGAGGTCATCCACTAAAAGCAGTGAATGGGTCTCTTCCCCAAATATGGGTAAATGTTCCTGCTGCTTCTATGATTACATCATCCTTCAAGGTCCAATTCAAGGGTAACCCTGAGCTTCCCAGACAGAACATGAGATAGGCGAGATAGGCATTATAGGAGGTTAACACTAGGAAACGTCCTCAAGTTCTGCATTATGCAATTATATTTTAAGGCACAAAAAATGTTCATGTACATTAGGAATAATGACCTCTTATGACTCTTATATATACTCAAATCAAGTGACTCTTATCTATACTCAAATGGCATTAATACACTAATTTGAGGTCTGAATGTCTTAGGCAAGCAATTCCAACTATAATTATAACAACAATAATAGTTATGAATGTAGATAGCATCTATAGAGTACATACCATATATTTCAAATATGTTGTTGTACATGTTTACAACAATGTAGAAAGTTCAGAATTATGATTTCATTTTATAAAGAAAACAGATTAGCAAAATGTATAACTCCAAGGTTATAAAATCAGGAAATTGCTAGACCCAAAATTTCAAAGAGGGTCTCTCTGAACCTACAATTCATTCAGTTCCCCTGTGTGTCTGAGGGAGAAATAATAATGTTGTCCACAGTTCTGCGAACTGGCTAATAAAGGAAGACCAAACTGAATGTATTATAGAGTGAAGTCTAAGTTTATGCTGTTGCCTATTGAAAGTGATTTGAAATATTTAAAATGTAGAAGTATATAAGAAATGGGTTAAGGTGATTATCAAACATCTGAGTTCTGAGTATACCTTAAGTAATGACAGCTTTCTAATTTATTTCATTATCAGCTTATTTTCTTAAAGCTCTGTGGGATTACCTTTTTTGATTATAGGACAATTGGTCCTCTGCATCTATCTGCAGGTTACTCATCCACAGAAATAACTGGTAAAAAATGTATCTGTACTGAAAATGTACAGACTTTTTCTTCTTTTTATTATTCCCTAAACAGTAGAGTCATAACAACTATCTACAGAGCATTCATACTATATCAGATATTATAAATAATCTAGAGATTTTTAAGTATACGAGATGATATAAATAGGCTATTCGTGAATACTGCATATTTAATATAAATGACTTGAGTGTCTATGGATTTGGGAATCATGGGGTGGGGGGATCTGGGAACTAATTCCCTTGAATACTAAGAGAGGACTCTGTTTAGAGCTTCCTAATAAAAGGGCTCCATCTAGTGGAGCAATTCAATCACCTGGCAAGACAGTGTCAAGATTAAATCCTACACACTAAGGGCTAAAACTGACAATCTCAGAGAAATGATATTTGTGCTGACCTGCAACAGCTTGCTTTTCATCACATTCTGGTAAAAAGGAAGAAGATAAACATGTTGTGCACATGGGTAAAGTGCATGAAAATGCTCTGGGTTGGCTATGTGAATGCAAGGAGCCACTGACCATGCACTAGTAAGATACCAAAGTGATTCTACTCTGTAGAATTAAAAAAAAAAAAAGAAGAAAAACCAAAAAAATCCAAAAACTAATATGTGAAGGCCCAGTTCAGCTTTCTATAAAACTAAAAAGAATTTGAGGGTTACTGTTATCCTTAATAACTAGCCCATACCCTGTACTGTGTTAGTATTTAATAAATGCTTGCTGAAAAAGTCCATATATTTTTATAAGATAGATAAAAATTTCTTTGGTTGACTTTTATAAGAAATAGCTGATTATCTGATTCCTTTACTCCAGAGCTTCAATTACCAGACGTGGAAAGCTGAAAAGTTTCTTAGTACAACCACACGAAAAAATCAAGTTTGCTCTTCAAGTTCTGTCATTTACATGCTCTTTCAACAACCTCTAAAAATAAAATATTAGAAAACCTCCAGCTTTATGAAATGTCATTATTCAAATTAAAAACCAAAGCCCACTATAGATTAGAAGAATCCATTAGGAAAGGAAGAAGAAAGCAGGATCTTGAAAAGTGAGCACATTAATAGCAACAAGATGTAACAACTCATTTCCTTTTAACAATGAAGTGGAAAGTAAAGTCTAGAAACAGAATGAAGTTCTGCACTCAGAAACCAAAGGCGCCTGGGGCAATTAGCTCTACAATACCTCAGCAGTCCTTAAGAATAACCATATTTCCCAATGGATGTCCATGAAGATTCCTCCAGAGAAACTTTTATAACTTTTAAAAGCTAAGGATGTGCTTCTGAAAATAGTCCCCCAAATGAATGTAATCAAGCATGTATAAAGACTTATGACAATTTTTGTCTTTTAGGAAATCTGTTTAGAATTCTTTCACAGAGACTTTAGCAAATGAGTCATCACTGTAACAATAGGAGACCCTAAAAGCTATTTGCACACAGGGTCTCCTGGTAAAGGGCCAGTACACATGGATGTGGCCACCTGCAAAGCTCAGGGCAGAGCTGTAACAGACAATGTGTCCCATCAATACATGACAACAATGTCACCACAAGTTTAATATTTTTTAATGTGTTTATAGTTTTTGAGAACTTACCGCCCAGAAGAAACTGGCTTAAGTGAACCAACATTTTCAAACAGCTGGGCCTTTGCTGCCACTCTGAAAAACAATTTTAAAATGTACATTTCATAAAGTCAATGAGAAAATCATTCTGCTCAATATGAACTCAGGGTTATCAATTAAACAAAATAACAACTAAAAAAAAGACTAACTGACAAAAGACTAATTCACAAAACTGAAACCAGATTTCGATTGTTTTGTTTTAATRTGAAAAATATATTTAGCTCTACCCTCCAGCTCACAGAGTATCAGACAATAATAAACCTCTAGCTACCTCCCATGGGGCTTGTACTGTTCTTATCCTTTTTACCTCAGAAAACTGAGGGAATAGTAAAAGGACCATTTTCTTCTCACTCTGCTCCCCTCAGGCAGCATGTTATTGACTCCTATGGAGCCACAAGGAAAGAATCAAAGAATGAAATCAACAGGACAGGAGAGGAACTACTGTTCATTCTGAGAGCTAAGAAAAAACAATACTGATTTCATGTGTTTTTTATATGGGAACATATTTCTTACAAAGTGGAAAGGATAAACCTGGAAAATACTTTCAATGAATATATCTGTGGACTCAAACCTCGTTTTGAATTCTGAGGTGCGTGGGAGAGGACAGCTCCTACCTGAAGAGGTGAGGCTACTAGAGATAGAACAAAATCAGGGCACTCGATGATCCACTCTGCATTTACCAGAATAGAACACTGAATTTCTTAAATGACATTCTAAACTGGATTTTTAAATCTCTATTATTCCTTTAATTGACAAACTCTTCTCACAGAGCCAAGCCATCTGATAATCTCAAGGCTGACTTATACCTAATACCGAACACACACTCATTTAAATTTCTACATTTTTAACTAAATCAGTAAAATCATAAGATAGTTACTCTTGTCTTTCCTTACAAAGAATGGAGTTTATACTCTCTTATCTTCTTGGTCAGATTGACTTAAAATTTAATTTCCTTTAATGGTTAGAACTATACATACTAGGAAGTAGATGTATATGTACTGTGTGTGTGTGTGTGTGTGTGTGTGTGTATAACAGAATTTCTGACAAAGAGCAATAACAGGTATTGAACTCGATCTGCAACTAAAGGTTTTTGACAAAGACAAGGATGGACAAATGAATTTAGGACACTGTTCCTATGGGAACAGGCTTAGTACAATGTCAGATTGAGAAAAGGGTAGAGCACTTGCTTAGCATGAGCAAGGCCCTGGGTTCAATCCCCTAATAGTGCCAAAAAGAGAGAGAAAAAAAAGAAAGTCTTACTGGACAATTAGTGAATAATTAAATGCCAGGAATACCATACTAAAAATGAGTTTGATGCATAGAATTAAAGTTAGAGAGCCCTGTGTTGGGATCCTAGCCCTTCYACTTACTAGCTGAGAGTGTGTGGACCAACTTTGTTTTTGTGTGTGGTCCTGGGGCCTAAACTTAGGGACCTGAATTAGGCAAATGCTCTACTTCTGAGCTACATCTCAGGCCCTGGACCAACTTCTTAAACTTTCTAGGAATTAGTTCTTATCCTCTCTAAAATGGGGTTTATGTTACCTGTTTCAGAAGGACACAGTGGACTTCAAAGAGATTATATAAGTAAAGATACCCAATAAGAGTTCACAAAGCATTAGAAAATGCTCAGCATTCTCAGGAACACAAAATGAAAGAGATGGAAACTTGCCCTTTTCTGTTCCCGGCTATGCACCTTGTCCTTTACATTGTTGGTCATTTCTTTTGACCACAAATACTGTCTTCCCTTTGTCTTTCATGTCCCTTGTTCTTGAATTTTTTTAAATCAGTGAGAACTCAGGTAGGGGAGATACAGGGTAGACAGGAGAGAAAACCAACCTTCAAGCTAGAGAGCAGCTATCCTGATAACAGAAAGTGGGGAGCTGGGAAATAGATGCATAGCTTTTTATAGGACAGTTTTAGGTTCAATATGCTTGACTATACATGTATTTTCATGTCCTTAAATTAAGCCATGGTTCTGTTCAAGGAAAAGTGCTTGAACTGCTGCCCCCCTGAGGTTGTTTATATATTCTAAGCCCACAATAACTTTCACATCACTGTTAGAAAAGAATGGACCCCTTTCTTTGAATGAACCTATTGTACAGATGGGGTATTTAATTATGAACTCCCAAGGTTCTTTAGAACGAACTCAAGCCCCATGCACTACTGGGAGACCCAGCAAATACAAACTCTCACTTACACGGAGCCAGGTCGCTGATAGCCATTGCTTGAGGCAGTGTCTAGCCTTAACCGCCTGCACATTTTTGGAGGCAGCTCTGGGTTTGGTGTGGCTTTGGCTGTCTCCTTGGAACCTATAGAAGTTAAGCTTTGAATGGATCCACTGTAGCTCTTGTTTCCTAAAAAGAAAGCCCAAGAAAACAGGCAAGGTGCTATTAGACAAAATAATAGCAATAACACAGTACATGTGCATAACAAAAGGAAGCATTTTTCTCCAAGACTAAACGGGAAGGTACAGAATGTTCTTTGGGCACAGCAGCCCATCACTCAGGGAGATCAAAATCTACTGTAATTACAAAGACATCACCTCACAGAGATGGAAAGTTTCAGGAAAAAAGTACAGTGCACCGAAGTTTTAAAATCCAAGCTCAAGAACAAAGTAGATAAGCATCATTAGCTTCCTCCATTAACTTTATCCCTGCTTAATCATGCTGAGTAATCCAGCAAATGACACTAAGACAATGACATCTTGTACATGCTCCAATCTGGCTTACCTTCAGCTGCAGAGATGGATCTGAGAGAGGAAGCAGAGGTTCTTTTCAGTCCTGAAAGACCATAAGGCCCCTTCTTGACCAGGTCTATAGGTGGGGAAACGTCTCCTGGGGTAGTGACCGAGGCAACACTCTGGCAATCTGATTCTGCATCCGTTTTGGTTGCATCTTCTCTAGAACTTGATTCAGGACTAGTTGTCCAGAGAGCAAGACTTTTCTGTCCATTGGAAGATGATGGGGTTGCAATCCAGGGAATCCCTCCAGATTTCTCCCTGGGTTGGCAGGAGGCTGACTTTGTAGTGCTGTTTTGTTCAGATGAGTGAGAAGAGAGCGACTCAATGCTACCCATGGGTGTGCTGTCTGGGCTGCTGCTGTAGGAGTCACCTGAGGAGGAGCAGGAGGGAGAGATGGAAAAGCAACAGCAGCTCTCTGTTGATAACATGCCTCCAAGCTTTCCTTTTCTCAGCTCACCACAAACTCCCTGGCCACCTGACCCCTTTGATGTATTAGGCCACTGCTTGGTGTGAAGAGCAGTCCTCAGTACTGGAGAAAGGCTTTAAAATATGCATTTGAAATTGGTGAATGCATGTTTCAAAACTATTGTAGAAAGATTCTGCACGTACCTATGAACCAACTGCCCATATTGAATAACTTTACTTCTTGAAGATAAGTGAGCTGACTTGAATTCAGACAAAATTTGCCATTGAAATAGGACCCAGAAGTAAGAGAAATAAGATTCCTTCATGATATTACAAAAAAAAAATAGAAGGGAGTATATTAAAGACATATTTCTGCCTTCTAAAGGCACCATTAAATGTTGTCAGGAAATTACAAATTGCTCACAATTTTCAAAGAAAGGATATTTCCTTTTTCTTGCTAAAGTACAGCAACATAAGAAACTCGCTGCTTAAATACTTTTGTTTTTTAATGTTCCTAAAGGAAAGTATAACAAAAAATCAGAGAAACCATAATAAAGCATTTAAATACTTCTGAATTAAAAATTACTAGACTCTATTCTATTACATATTGGCAGTAGGAAAAAATTGGGGGCTTTGCGGATATGAAATAAAATGAGAAAGATCACATTTAATGTATGCCATGGACTCAGGCTGCCATTCATATTACCTTGGGACACTGCCCCAAATAAGAAGTTAGTGGTGATATGTGGTGTTGATATTCTTTTTATTTCTTCTCTATCAGACACTTTGACAGCCAAGAGATGATATTTTAAGAACATAACGTGAAGGAAAGAAAGAAAATGACTGTGTCAGTCCAACTCTCTTGCTTTCTTATCTACCATTTYGACAAAAGGACAAAACCTGCTACAAAGTAGCACCCAATGTACTTAATCACAGCTACAGAAAAAAAACAGCATTAAGCAAACTATTCTTTTCTTTTGAAGCAATAATGAATTTGCTTATCCAGGGAACCTTATAACTCTGCTGACAGTGTATCAATGCTAGAAGAGGGGGTATTGGGGGAAGAGTGTGAGAGAGAAGATTTTTCTCTTTTTACTGAATTACCAATGAAGTGAGGTCAGGATGAACTAGACAATGAACAAAGCAGCTCCCTAAAACCAGGCACACTTACTATCAGGTTCTGCCAGGCATGGTGTGTACCTCCCTCTAGGCTTCCGGGAGCCCGTGGAGAGGCATATTGCTCGAGTCCTTCGGGATCCAGAACGAGACTGAGGCTGAGGAAGAGGAATGCTTGGGTCTGGGGCAGTATGAAAAATCTACATAGAAGAAAAATGAACTGAGGTCAAAAAAGGGTGAAATTGCCATGTGCATCATCAAACAAGCTTTCAGAGCTACTTAATCATCTTAGAACTACAAGAGATGCTTGAGACCAAAAATATGAGTGTCCTGGAGGAATGATAACTTCCTATCCCTTTAGCAAGTAATGTTTCTTCTTTAGGTTTCCCTTTTTATTCTGGTTCATATCCCAACAGTGACATTCAGAGAATCTTCCAAAAGCTTTAAAGACTTTACAAATATGAATAAATACCTATGTCGAGACATATCAATTCTTTTTACAGTCATATTCTCTTTCTACCTTTATCTTGGAAGAACATGTCTTGAGTAAAAGATGCTCAATCTGTGTCATTTCTCCAACAGATGGCTTCTTGCTTCCAGGACAAGGTGATGTCAGCCTGTTGGCTCTGCACTGTCAAGGAATGTGACCAGCTGCACAGAGGAGTGAGCACAGCCACTGGACACAGCTGTGTAGTCTTGGATTGCGAGAGAGTTTGCAACCTAAGTTACAAAGGACTCTTGTTTTTGATACTGGGACRTTTACCCAGGGAAGCTCTATCATTGAGCATACCTAGCCCTAGCCATTTAATTTTTTTTTTTAATTTTGAGACAGGAGTTCACTTAGTGGCCAAGGCTGGCCTCAAATTTGTACTCTCCTTGCCTCCTAAATAGCTGGGATTACAGGCGTGTGCCATTACACTTGGTTCAGGACATTCATTCTTCTGTGGGTCCAGGAAGGGATCCTGGGAAGTAGAGGGATGTGGTCATTCTCTCTCACAAGGCTTTTAGTTTGTTTTCATAGTTACTCCAAGACCTCACTTTTTAAGGAAATGGTCCTCAGAGGTTAGAAATAGAGGACTTCAAGTATTCCTAACAAGAGAAAAAASAGAATACTAACTTTACTATGTAATTAGGAGGATCATTCCAACAGGATTGAGAGTGAAGGTTAAAAGAGACTTAGCCACAAAATGGATTGTAAGGCACTTCTGAATATAAGTAAGAAACTGACTACACAAATGCTAAGACAACATCAGAAAGTAAATGATGTAGGAGAAAAGGAAACAAGCTCCTGAAGGATGTGAAGAAGCAGTAAACTACTGAACGACAACAACAAAAAATTGAAGTCCTTGTGAAAAAGCGATTTCTACAACACTGATAAGGTGGGCAATTTATAGAACTCTCAAACCCCAATGTAAAACTTACAGACAATACAAATGCCAAATCTGTTTTAAAAGCACAAAATATAACTTTCTACTTGCACGGAAAAATCCAGCCTACCTTTTCATAGTGCTCTATCAGAATTTCAACCACTATATTCTGAAATTTTATATTCATCATGGCAGCTACAGTTTCCTCCTGGGCTCTCATCAGTGTTGGGCCAAATATGACGCCAAGATTTGAGAYAGTCATGAGATTTTGTTGGCTGTGTAGTGATACTCTGCAAATTAAGAACAAAAACATCTTAAGTTAAATGTTTAATAATTAGAAAATATTCTATTCAGCTTATGAGAAAAATTGTAAAACCTGTAAGTCATCCAGACACAAGACTGAAAGACTTGACTTCCATCACGTTGACTAATTTTTCCCCTAGAGCCCAAGAAAGCACCAGCTAAGCAGGGCTCAGTGGCACATGCCTGCAATCCCAGAAACTTGGGAGACTGAGACAGGAGTATCAGGAGTTCAAAGCCAGCCTCAGCAAAAGGTGCTAAGCAACTCAGTGAGACCCTATCTCTAAATAAAATACAAAATAGGGCTTGGGGCTGGGGATGTGGCTCAAGCGGTAGCACGCTCGCCTGGCATGCGTGCCGCCTGGGTTCGATCCTCAGCACCACATACAAACAAAGATGTTGTGTCTGCCGAAAACTAAAAAATAAATATTAAAAAAAAAAATTCTCTCTCTATCACTCTCTCTTWAAAAAAAAAAATAGGGCTTGGAATGTGGCTCAGTGGTCAAATGCCCCTGAGTTCAATCTCTAGTACCCCTCTTACCTCCTCCCACCCCACAAAAAGCACTAGCTAAAAGGGCTTTAAGTTAAAAGAAAGAGTTTCAATCCAGGTTTCCTTTTTTCTATAACAGACCATTACATATTAATTTCTAGATATGCATTAGGCAACCTACTATGGAAAGCAGYATGTAAACACAGAGCCTGTCTGGATTCAAAGTTTGGCTCCATTTCTTAGAAGCTGAGTCACGTTTGGCCAAGTTATTAAATATCTCTTGGCTTTGTTTTTCTCACCTTTAAGTTACATATACCAATTCTTATTAGGGCTGCTGAGAGTATYAAATAAAATAATGAATTTAACTGAAATAGGATCTCAATAGACTATTYTCCCTTAATATAAAATTGACTTTTGGCATATTTACCAAAACATCATAGTTGTATAATGCAAATAAAATGGAAGAACATTAATATTAGGCTCAGGAGTAAATTTGGAAAACTTAAAACCTTGATGTATTTTGAAGAGCAGAGTTGATGAATACGCTACATACAAGAAGGAGCATTTTGATGACCAATTTTCTCTTCATTGAACATTCCTTCTCCTGGGTTACTTAACAGCTACAAACACCTGTACTACTGGACTACAACATTTAGAGATGTCATGAAATGACAAYAAATGCACAAAGGAGGTGGGTAAGAGTGAGGCTGTATAGGACTAAAAATAACACAGGGGGTAACTCAGATCCACGGGAAGAAGTAAAAAAGAAGAAACAGTAAATAAGAATGTCATATTAAAYTCTATAAATGTATACTTGTTCTTCTTTCTTCCCTCAGCTCTTTTATAAGGCAATAGATTACATAAAGTAGTGATTATCACAATGAATTGTTGGATTTGTTAGGTATGTAGATATAACATGTGCACAAAAGCACAAAAAGGAGAAAGAGGAAATTGAATTATATAGGAATAATTTTTCTACATCTCATTGGAATTAATATAAGTCTGCAGTATATGTTAAGCACTGTATATGTTAAGCACTAGAATATCCACTAGGAAAATAAAGCAGTAAACATGAAACRGAGTAACAAAAAACACAATCTATAGAGAAAAGAAAAAACCTCAGACATAGGTCAAACTGTGCCATCATAATCAATAACAATAACAACAACAACATTAAATGTGAATGGATTAAACAATACAATCAAAGGACATAAACTAATCAGCCCAGATTTAAAAAAAAAATGAGGTCCAACTGTAGGCATTCTACAGTGGACAGCCTGAAAAAAAAAAAAAAAGGATTAACGATATTAAGTGAACAACAATCATAAGTAAGAGTGGCTACACTATTGTCATACAAAATAGATTCTAAAACAAGAAATATKATTAACAATAAAGATAAAATATAATGAAAAAAAGGTCAATACAACAGGAATATATAACAATTATAAACATATTTGTACATAATAATAGAGCACCCAAATACACAAAGCAAATCATGTGCTTTAGAAGTCGTTCCAAAAAGAACTAGGAGATGTGTTTTGTTTTAGATTTGCAGAGAGGTAAAAATTTTTGGTTACCTGACTATTGGGAGTAAAAACATCTTAAAGARAGATATACATTTAATACCACTAGCAAATATATATGTATAAAATTCAAAGGTTTTCATTTAGGAGGTATCTATTTTCACTTTTATTTTGCATTCAAAAGAAATTCCACAACTATTTTTGTTATATGTCTCAATAAATAATTTCCCTTCAAACACGATATTAAAAAAATTTAAGTGATGATATTTTTAAATGTTAAAAATTAAGTGTAGAAATGACACTATAGCCGTTGTTTTAAAGACCACCTCCCTYACCTTACACACAAGGGATTTTTAAAAAAGAAGCAATAATTTATGCTATTTCTCAAATCTAATTAATGAGGATTTGGAATTGGTGCTTTAATCTTTAAAATCTCAACTTAGTTCCCTGGTTTATTTGTTATTGTTTTGTTTTCAGCTACCAAGGGTTCTGTTGCTTATTTGCAGTTCCCACAGCAAGTCAGCACAGATCTGGAGACACAWCCGACAAGGGCTGCTCACTCAGTGGGACTTAACCTTTTAGATCCTTTTCCTCCACTCTTCAGAGGTAATGGGTAGAATCCATTTGTGCACACCAAGAAAGTGTTCTACCACTGAGAAACGATCCCCGCAAGCTTTTTTTTTTTTTTTAAAGAGAGAGTGAGAAAGGAGAGAGAGAGAGAGAGAGAGAGAATTTTTTTAATATTTATTTTTTAGTTCTTGGCGGACACAACATCTTTGTTGGTACGTGGTGCTGAGGATCCAACCCGGGTTGCACGCATGCCAGGCGAGCGCGCTACCGCTTGAGCCACATCCCCAGCCCCCCCGCAAGCTTTTAAATTTGATTTTCAGACAAGATCTTGCTAAGTTGCCCAGGCTRGTCTCAAACTCTAGCCTTGGCCTGCTGAGAAGTTGGGATTACAAGTGTGCACGTGTGCACGCATGCATGGTGTTGGGGAGCAAACCCAGGATCTTATACATTTGAATTTGACCTATTGTAAGTTCAGGAAAGACCCAGGAATGGTGGTGAAGGATGGACAATTTCCAAACACTGTTTTATGGGCAAATACTCTTCCTGCTACTCCCAGGATAAAAACCACACATAGACAAATTATGGGTAAAGCTTAAGTTAATCTAACATTCTGCCTAACTAAGCAAAAACATTTTATGTGACATTCATGTAGCTTTTAAAAGCACATTTAAAAAGGCTTGCTAGAAAATTACCTTAAATACAGGCAAGATAATGCATAATAAATAGTGTGGCTGAATTTCATGAAGAACTCAAGGATAGTGAGTCCTTTGCTCATTAGTTAAGAGAAGTGCTGCTGTGGGTCAATAGTTAATGATAAACTTTGAATGATGCTGTTTCTAGTGAATTTCCTTTTTATTTCAAGTGGTGGTAGTGTGTGCGGGGAGAGTTCACATCTCAAAGCCTGAAAGTTAGATAAGAATTATTAATATGTTTATGCAATATTATTTCAAATGTGCATGGCTCAAATGAGCATAAATTAGGGAAATCCTTGTGGTAAGCAGGAGAGAATTTTTTTGATGATTTTTTTTTGGTATTTATTTAGATGAAAACTATCCTTACTAAATGGTCAATGGTGCTGTTAAGGTAATTTTTCAGTAAGTTTAAAACTGAATTTAGACTTTTGTTTCCAGAAGCATAGTTAAAAAAAAAACTTCTTTGTTATTAAATGTGTGTTGTATATGTCTATCTTTCAACTCCAGAAAGGTAGATACATCTAATGATTAATTTGACCATGATACCCAGATGTTTGACCAAAAATCAACCCAGATGTTTCTGAAAAAGCACTTTTAGATGAGATTAACATTTAAATGGCTATACTTTAAATAGAACAGACTATTGTCCATAAGGTTGGTGGGCGTCTTTGAATCAGCTGAAGGTCTCAGGAGGAAAAAAAAAAAAAAAGAATTCCTAAAGAAGAAAGGAATTCTGTCTCCTACAGCCTCTTTATTTGAGCTATAAATTTCTACTTTTAATTTTTATTGGTTTTTAGTTATATGTAACATTAGGATTCATTTTGATGTAATATGAAAGCATAGAATATAATTTGCTATAAGTCAGTCCCCTTTTCCTCCACTCCTCCCTCTCCTGTTCCCTTCCCTCTATGCTATGGATCTTTCTGCTACTGAGCTGAAATTTTCACTCTTCTCTGAAGCTCTAGCCTGCTAGCCAGATCTACAGATTTCAAACTTCCAGTTTCCACAATTGCATGAGCCAATCCCTTAAAATCAATTGCTCTCTCTCAATTTTGCTTTCCCTCCCATTTTCCTTCCTATTTCTTCTTGTTTCTCTGGAAACCTCTGACTAAAAATAATATTTATTAAACTGGTTATCTATCTCCTATTGACAAAGAATTGATGAACTAACAGCCAAGTCAGAAAAGTTTTCAGAGAACAAGAGACACTGAATCYAGAGAAGAAATCTAATATTTGACCTAGGAACTTTGCTAACTTTAGTAATGCAGTCATATTACATTAGTAATAGCACTGGTCTTCAAAATCATGGTTACCATACACTTAAAAGAACTAGGCAAAAACCTACATACTCCTTCACACATTTTGAAGTTGACACATATGTGTTTTATCCTTAGCTTAACAGTTGCAAAGAACATACTCATTTGCATATTAGAAACATAAAAGTATACACATACATGTCAATGGACTGATTATAATGGTAATGATACTGTACTACCATATATCTTATAAAGTCATAAACAAGTTTAACTTTGAACAAGTAGTTAAATAAACAATATAAGTTGGAGAATTACTTGACCAGGTGCTTTATTAAGATGTCCAGCATCTCTCTGTTCTTCTCCGGCAATTTGTGCACCAGTGCATGTACAGCCTCCACCCTGTAGTTCTGGTCATCTGATTCTATGATGTAAAAAAGGTTGCAAATGCTCAAGTTTTAATTGCATTCAAATCTGTACATAAATATTGGTAATTTAACATTATTGATACTCCCACCTCTCATGCCTTACAAGCATTTGTTCATATAGTTCTATTATCATCACTCCCTAAGGCTTAGAGAAGAGGAGTAACTTGTTCCTGGTCATGAAGTCAGGAAGTAGCTGAACAAATTCAGTTCTACAGATTCTACACATGTGCTCTTAGTCACAGAACTACATGCTTCTGTACAATTATAACTCATCACCTGCTTGGGTTTGGCAACCAAGGGCAAATACAACCTTTACAAATGTGAATTATAGCAATTAGTACAGACCAATTGTGTACGATGGTGCCTGAAACACGACCAAATAGAAACCTCCTAGAGATCAAACCCCAGGCAAACAAAGAAAGCCGAAATTCCTCTCTTAAGTTTATAGATTCAAAGACAAAAAGAGTGCCTTTTCTAAGATATTATTATATAAACAGAGGCCCAGATGATCCTGGGTACAGCTATTTAGATACCAGGTGAGGAAAGGTACATGGAAAGGCAGATCATGTATAAAGGCGAGTCACTCCAAGGCTAGGTGACCAAATGTACCATAAGAAAATATGAATGGAAAGGGAGATAAGAATGAGACAGAGGTACAACAAAGATCAGAGAGGAAAGAACCTTCAGAAAGAGTGAGAAGAAAAATGTTACTTCCCGACTTAACAGTTCCTGGGATATATTTTAAACATCATAGTACTGAATATATGATCACCATTGCCACAGAAGCAAGTAGACAAAAACTTGCGACCAAAAGTTTGTATCCACACAACCAGTTCATTTTAACCACTTTAGCCAAATTTTAGCCAACTGGCTCAAATGCTACTTGTTGTGAAACAAAATCTCTTTGTATAAAAGGGTTCTATGTTAAGAGTCAGAAAGGACAATAAAACAAAAACCCCAAACAAACAAAAACCATAGACAACTAGCTGGAAGTCCGTGTTTTGCCATAAATTTACTAGCATCCTTGGACAAGTCACCTGCCCACTCTAGATCTTGATTTACTTGTCAATAACATGAGGGGTTGGGGTTCTATATTTTTTCAGGTCCAGTTTATCTTAAAAACATGGGTTCCTTTGGAGGAAATGCAGCATGGAGAGCTTTCAGAAGAAAGCTAAGCAGCGCAGGTGTTTAAAGGTTATGGTGCTGGTCATGAATGCTTAACTGAAAACCCAAGTTGCTCAACTTTATCTGATACCTTCATCAGCAGACAACATCTTCTGTGACATTATAATATGTGGCAGAAAACTAATGCAACTGATTTCTTTCTTGGACTATGAAAAATACTCTTAAATGCAGTCATGACTCATAGAATCTAACAATAGAATGTCAACTTAGAACTGTTACATGTAGTGATGGGCTCAGATAGCAATCTGCACTTCAGTCTCAGTGGATGGAAAGCACATTCTACTACTTGGGTTACCAGTTTGTAACTCTCTTCCCACCCCTATGCCTCCAAATTTTTTAATCTAACTATTCATTTTTAAAATCTACCTATTCATATAATATTGTCATAGTCAAGATCTAAAAAAATGTGAAAAGTATGTGATCACCACAAATACACATAATGCCAGAGAAATGGGTTGGTGTGAGTACTGCGGCTGGCCCCAAATATTGGACGCTTCTTTCCAAATTTAGGAATATAGCACAGAAGCGTTTTTAGTGGCATAACTGTCTGTACACATTTGCAGTTTCTATTATTTAACTATAAAGTTGCCCTCACAAGAAGTTGCCATTGGTCACTCAAGTAAAATGAAATCAGGATTTTTCGTGGCCTTTTCTAATCATACCAGACTGTCATCCCAATGAGATCTTAGTAAGTGACAAAATACTGAGTTCATTCTGCAATTCTTTTTGGCTTATAAATCATACTATAAGCTATTACATATCATTTGACAACTTTAATAGTTTTATTGGTGCATTATAATTATAGGTAACAGTGGACCTCGTTTTGACATAATCATTCATGGAAGATAATTTGCTTTATTTCGATCCCTGGACCTTTCACTTTCTCTTCCTTCCTCTCTCCCTATATTCCTCTTCCTATACTCTGCCGGTCTTCCCTCTATTTATTTATTGTTTTTTTAATTGTTGCTTTATAGATGTACATAATGGTGGAATTCACTGTGGCATACTCATACATGTACATAGCATAATTTGGTCAATTTCATTTCACAGTTCCCTCCTTTTCCCATCCTTCCTCTCTCCCTATCACTTTCTTTCTTTGACATCAGTGATTTGGGGATAAAAAAAAGAAGTCAATTAGGGGATTTAAATCTATATGTCTACGTAATACAGCATAGAACTACATCAATCAATCATATGCATCAGATGCAAGTGTACTTACTAACAGCAACAATAAAATCTTTGTGCAACTTGTAAGTCATCAGTGGTTCTGCAAGGCACCTATAACAGAAAGGCAAAGTGTGTTTAGAATGGCAGTGCCTTTTGTCCCCACTGCTGCCCCCACCCCAGAAATTTTTAATGGTTGATTATATTTTGTTAACTAAAAATTAATAAATAAAAATATAAAAAGTGGGTGATTAGATAGTATGGCAAGGTCTTAGTAGAGGGATTCCAGGCAGCCCTAAATGCAGACCTCAAAAACATGAATGACTCTTAGTGCTTCTTACCACAGTTGTATTAAAAGGGGAGGTGGGGAGAGAAAACTTCCACTTCATGAGAACTAACTTTAGGAACAAAACCAATCTGTTATGTGAGTAATAGTTTTTGTAAAAAAAAAAAAAATGATATCTATTTGCTTAAAAAATTTGTGAAAACCCCACATACAAACTCAATCTGAAACAAAAAAATCTAACTCACTGGTATCACTACTGCAACAGGCAAATGCCAGTTCCAGAATGCTGGCTGCAGGTATTACGGTCTTGTGCAGTTTTACCTTAAGGGAAGACCTTGTGCTAAGTAGTGGAGCTGGTGAACAGTCCCCTTAAGGTCATGTGGTTGTTGCCCTCAAAGGGGAGTGAGAGCAGCACCCGGAGTGCCAGAAGTTCAATCCCCCTCACCTGAGGTAGTTTTTCAGCCCACTCGTTATGGTCTTATTGTCCCACAGCTCAATATCAATGTCGATGTCAGGAGGGGACTTTGGAGCTGGAAAGAACAAAAACAAGATGTTTAACCTCTACAATTCAAAATATTACTTGCACCATCATAAAAATGGACACTGGAATAAGTAGGTAAAGAGAGGGGCATTCTGAGGACACTGATAGTTAACTTTAGGATCACTAAAGGAAGCTCATTCTGAGCCTACACCTCAAAAATATCTAGTGAATAAGAGTTCCCTCAGTCAAATTATTGATAACCGTTAACATGACAGAGTGCTTAATAGGTACCCAGCATGTTTTTAAGTGCTTTGTCTAGATTAACATATTCAATTCTCCTAATTCTTAAGAGGCCCTATTATCCCCAGTTTATAAACGAGGAGGCAAGAGAAGTTAAGCAAATTCCCTAAGGTCACAAAGATTTCAAGTGGCTGAGCTGGAATTTCAAGTCAGGTAATCTGATTCTAGAATCCATGCATCTTACTGTATCTCTTGCAAGCTAAAGAACCCTGGGGAAAAAGTCCAACTTTATAAAAATGCCCCGAAATTCTGACTATTCATATAATTATAGGTGAATACTAAGAACAGTTCAGAAGTTGGGGTATAGCTCAGTGGCAGAGCATGTGCTTAGTAGCTGTGAGACTTTGGGTTCAATCTCCAGCTCTGTCCCCTCTCTGCTCCTGCCACTCCCTTCACAAGAAAAAAAAATGACTAGAAACATCAATTTTAAGTATTTGAAAAGACTCAAAGAAAAACAATCATCTATATTTCAAAGACACTTATAGTTTGGGTTGCCTATAAGAATACAAAAAATTAATTAAGAGCTTTTGTTTCATTCAAAACTTACAAAATGTGGTGTTCATGAGTTTTTGAACTTTGGAATTCACTCCTCCTATTCGGTAGAGTCCTAAAATGGTGATGCCTAATGGGAAGGAAAATCACAAGAAAATGGCTTGAGACACAGCTTCCCAAGTACAGAATGTTAAAAACTCTGACATATGCCTATACAGCATTTGAAAGCTACTTATTCAATTTTGCAGTCTGACCTTAGAAAACTAATCCTGGAAACATCCATCAGACATGTATTTCTCAGAGCTGACACTGAATAGTGATTTGAAAGTCTCTGAAGCTCTTCAAAGTAGCAAAGTACACCTGCTTTAGTCACCATTATTTGAATATATATATATAAAAAAAAAGGCATCGGTGATGGGGAGAGATGACCAGTATTCCTCACCTTCCACTTCTTCACAGTCAAGGAGTCCTGCGTGTTAACTAGTCCTATGGTGTATGTATGTATGTATGTATGTATGTATGTATGTATGTATATATATATATATATATCTTCATTTTAAAGGAGAGGAAACATTTTCAGAGAATTCAAGGAACCTACTTAACCTCTCAAAACTTCTAAGTGGCTACACCAAAACTGTGAACATAAGTTTACAAAACTTCACAGCCCAATACGATTATTGTTTTAGACAGTTTTTCTGGAACTGAAACGAACTGGAGTGAGCTTCAAGAGAGGTCAAGATCAGTATGAAGAAGGGTGCCAAAAGGAAGCACTGACTTCAATCACTAAGGGAAAGAAAATAGGGCAGAAAACGGGTGAAGACAAGCTCCTTACACATCTCACCTCCCCAGCGCTTGAAAAAATTAAAGAGGTGCTTACTACAATAAATCATACATAGCCCATTAGTAAGAAGTTAATTAGGAAAAAATACAAAAAAGTAGTGCAATATTAGTAAACTGAAGTTCAAAGTACACCTATTTATGTATTTATGTAACTTATACTTGTATATCATTCTTAAAATTAATCTCATGTTAATGTTTAAAAATGCAGTTTCATTTTCTCCTCTGAGAAATTTCCATGTGGGCCTGGGGCACACAACAGTAATGGGGTACCTGTAAGACCACACTCACCTCTTGCTTCCACAGCTTGAATGCATTTTCTCACAAAGTTGAACCCTGCTTCATTTAAGTACACTGAAAGAGGAAATCAGGGTAAGTGCTGATGTTGGATTCAGATGGCCTTTCAGCTGGCTGTGTTCACTGTGCCTTCTCATCTGAACTGCACAGTGGTTGCAAGAATTCGTCAAATATTTTGGCTGAAGTCTGACTTTTAATTTTTGGAGAAAAGTGGAATAGGGAGGTTCACAAGCATAGTTATCACATCAACCTGCTTACTAAGAAAAACAGATCCCTCATAGAAAGTACATTACATTGATCCCAAACATTACTCCTACAAGGAATGTTATCTCCCTTGCTGTGTGTCTTTCTCGGATGACAGAAGTGAATGCAGGAAGAATAAATCTTGATGGTGAGTACAAAATTATGTTAAAGCCTTTCATATATCCTCTCCCAGGGATTCTAAAAACAACATTATGAGGATTTTAAGATGATTCATTGGGTCACAAAAAACATCACTTCTCTGTTGTAAGCTCTATGGTTAGGATTTAACTCATGTTACATTTTGTTTCATAATCAGAATAATTCAAAACATGCTCAGTGCACTAAAATATCCCCAAAGGTTCCTAGATTACTAAGATAGCAAATGATGTCCATTTTTAGTTATGTTTCCTTTAAGTCTGTTTTATTTTTATTTTTTAAGGTGGTAGAACATGAATCAAATTAGATTACTTACATAAAGAAAAAGCTCTTAAAAATGCAAAGTGACACCTGGGGAAAATTTTTTAAAAACTTCTTATTGCACTAAAATGAAAAATTTCATCATAATGGTATAGTTACAATATTTAAAAATATTCCCTAATAATAACAAATGAAAATAATTGAAATTAATAAAAATCTAAGATGGGCTTTCATTTAAAAATGATGATTCCAAAAGCATTGAACAGATGCAATGCAATCCCCATCAAAATGTCAAAAGATTCCTCACAGAATTGGAAAAAGCAGCACTAAAATTGATACAGAAAAATAAGAGACCCAGAATAGCCAAAGCAATACTGAGCAAACTGAGTGATGTTGGAGCATCATCATCAATACCTGATCTCAAATTATACTATAGAGCTATAGCAACAAAAACAGCATGGTACTGGCACCAAAAGAGACACAAAGACCAGTGGAAAAGAAGACACAGAAACAAACCCACATAAATACCGTTATCTGTTACTGCAAAGATACCAAAAACATATGTTGAAGAGGTAGTCTTTTTAACAAATCGTGATGGGAAAACTAGACATCCTTATGTAGAAGAATGAAGCTGGATCTCTATCTCTCACCCTGCACCAAGTCAACTCAAAGTGGATTAAAGACTTAAGAATTAAGACCTGAAACACTACAAACGTTAGAAGAAAATGTAGGCCCAACACTCCAACATAGGACACAGGAGCCAATTTCCTTAACAAGACGCCCAAAGCACAAGAAATAAAATAAAAAATCAATATGGGACACCATCAAACCAAATGCTTCTGCACAGCAAAGGAAACAATTAAGAGTGAAGAAAAAGCTTACAGAATGGAAGATCTTTGCCACCTGCTTCTCAGATGAGAGTATTAATATGGAGAATAAATAACTCAAAAAACTTAAAGCCTAAATAGCCAAATAATCCAATAAGTAAATGGCAAAAGAACTAAACAGACATTTCTCAAAAGAAGAAATATGGGCTGGGGATGTGGCTCGGGCGGTGGCGTGCTCGCCTGGCATGCGTGCGGCCCGGGTTCGATCCTCAGCACCACATACCAGCAAGGATGTTGTGTCTGCTGAGAACTAGAAAATAAATATTAAAAATTCTCTCTCTCTATCTCTCTCTCTTCCCTCTCTCACTCTCTCTTTAAAAAAAATAAATTCTCTCTCTCTCTCTCTCTCTTTAAAAAAAAAAAAAAAGAAGAAATATGAAAAGTCAACAAATATATGAAAAAATAATCAACATCTCTAGCAATTAGGGAAACGCAAACCAAAACCACATCAAGATTTCCCTTCACTCCAGTCAGAATGGCAATTTTCAAGAATACAAATAATGATAAGTGAAGATGTGGGGGGAAAGGTATAGTAATACATTGTCAGTGGGATTGTAAATTATACAACCACTCTGGAAATAATATAGAGATTCCTCAAAAACCTAGGAGTACAACCACCATATGATCTAGCTATCCCACACCTTGGTATATATCCCAAATATCTCAAATCAGCATACTATAAGGATGCAATCACATCAAGATTTAAAACAGCAAAATTCACAATAGCCAGATTAGAAAGAACATAGGTGCCCTTAAACAGATGAATGGACAAAGTAAGTATGGTATACATAAACAACAGAGTATTATTCATCCTTGAAAAAGAATGAAGTTTTGTCATTTGCTGGTAAATGGATGGATCTGGAGACTACAATGCTAAATGAAATAGACTCAGAAAGTCAAAGTYGAATGTTTTCTCTGACACATGGAAACTAGTCTAAAATTAGGGAAGGTGAGGAAGGGAGAGAAGAAATTGACGGGGATTCCATCAAAATAAAACAAAGATCAGGGAAATAGAAGAGGTTTGATGGGGTGGGGGAAGAGAGACCAGGTGAGGAAAAACATTGGAATGAATCAGATCTAATTTTCCAATATATATATATATGATTATACTACAGTGAATCTCATCATTATGTACATCCAGAAGACACTAAGTATAAAAAACAAAATGCAGGGCTGGGGATGTGGCTCAAGCTGTAACGTGCTCGCCTGGCATGCTCGGGGCGCTGGGTTTGATCCTCAGCACCACATAAAAATAAAATAAAGATGTTGTGTCCACCGAAAACTAAAAAATAAATATTAAAAAAATTCTCTCTCTCTCTCTCTCTCTCTCTCTCTAATAAAAATGTAAGTAAGTAGAAAGATCAGTAGAGAAAAAGGAATAGGGGGAGGATAAGGGTAAGTACTGGGGACTTAACTGGAGCAAACAATACTCCATGCATTTATAATTTATGTAAAAATAAATCCTAATGTCATATATAACTACTGTGAACCAATACCAAAATAATGGATTAAATATATTCATGTAGCTTATAGCACTGAATCATTGATAAAAAGTGCATATCAGAAAAAAATTTGATTAAAATCAAGAAAGACAAAATAAAAATTTTGAAGAGATCCTATATAGAGAAAATCAGTGAAGTTGAATTGATTAACAGAAAGATTTGAGAAGTCTGTGTCCCTGAAATAAGAGATAGTGACATAGGATATTTATAATGTGCTGTTAAGTGAAAAAAGTAATCTACAGGATGATATGACCTATTTTTTAAGTAGAAATTTGAAGGTATGAGTATTTCTGTTATCCTAGATAAAAATTTCAGAGGTGGATGCAAACTGTTGATAAGAATAAGAGGGTGGAAGGTTCAAATTGTMTTTTATATTCACCAGACTTTAGAATCATTGCAAATAAATCTATTTAGCATTTTAAAAATACTATAGTACTCTAGAAATAAAATTACCTAAAATTAAAATGTGCATGGCTATCAAGAGGAACTGGTGTGTGTATTTCTTTGTCCCTAGCATCCTAGGTTATGAGAACAGAGCTTAGTGGGCGCTCCATGTGAACTCAAAATACATGAACAAATGGCCATGTGAGATATATTAAGAGGAAGAGGAGACTTTTAAAATTTTTCAATAAAAATTGACTGGCAAAATTAATGAAAAGAATCATGATATATAAAAATTAGAATTTCTTTTTAAAATATTCATTTTGAGAAAAATAAGCAAAAACAAGACTATTTCTCAAAGGTATAAAGACATTTTTGAGCAGCCATACCTCATTCTAATAAACCAATATAACAGGCTCACTATGTAGAATAGAATAGAACTTTTACCATCAGTTGGTTTGACTGCAAAATCATTCTAAAGGTGCTGTTGCCCTGGTGAATATGTAAATCCTACACTTAGCGTCTTTTACATGAGTAAACACAACATTACCAATCAGTTCAGAGATGTGGAAAAAGACAAAATACACTGTATTGGCAAAAATAACCATGCATTTTTATCTGTTGCCTCTGATCATTATTTGATTGGCTCAAAGAGCATAGTCCCATGATGCAGAGACAGGGCCCAGCTGGGTTTAGAGCCAAGCCACTTAGGGTTGGTCCTCACTTCACTATTCCTGATGTGTGGATGGGAGGTGCCTATAACCTCTATGAACTTGGTTCCTTCATTGTGTAAAATAAGAAAGTAAGGGGTTGGGGTTATGGCTCAGCAGTAAGAGCACTTTGCCTAGCATGTGCAAGGCCCTGGGTTCGATCCTCACCACCACATAAATATAAATAAATAAAATAAAGGTATTATGTCCAACTACAACTAAAAAATAAATATTTTTAAAAAATAAGGAAGTGACTAAACATGTGAAAAGTCACAGTAAGATGAAGACTAAACCAGATGAAGTACTGAAGAACACATAACAGAGGAGCAAGCCAAAGGAGTGCCAGTTTCCTTCTCCCTCTACTCCTGTCCACACATCACTGCCAAAGAGAAATGATGAATGAACCCATTACTTCTAAAGAGAGAGAGACCCAAGTTACTCTCCCACTAAAAAACTGTGTTACTGGGAATGGCTTTAACCTCTTTGTGCCTTAGTTTCCTGATCTATAAAATGAGAATAACAACTATCTCTTCCTTATAGGGATGTTTAAGGATGAAATAAATTAATATCTGCAAAGCTCCAAGAATAGTGCTTCAAATATAGTAAGTGCTAATGGAGTGTTGGCTAAATGCCTGCATAGTAACATTTGATGATTAACACATGCCTTATTTCACTTAGCATGAATCTCACCATCATTTATATCCATAAGTAATTTTAAAACAGTAACTCTGTAAATGGTAGAAATAGAGGGAAGGGAGTAAGGGGTCAGGGAAGGGAAGGGGGAAGGAGACGTACTGGGATCTGAATTAAAACAAATGAGAACAGGATATATTCCATACTTGTCTCATTATGTCAAAATAGATTCAACTGTCATGTATAACTAAAAAGAACAAATAAAAAATAAAATAACAATCACA